CTAGGCCTGTTGTCCTGCCCATAGTGGGTGTCCAGCAACTGCCCCCTCCCCCTGACTCCACCCCATTCCTCTCCCTCCCCCACCTCTGGGCAGGGGTGGGGTGGGCAGGCCAAAGAGTGCGCAGTGAGGTGTAGCTGTGTCCCTTGGCTCCTGTTTCATGCAGGTCCCTCCTGAGAAGGTGGAGCCTGCCCGCCCTCCACCACAGGCCCACCCGGCAGAGATAGGAGGGGCTCCAGGAGCCCAAGGAGGCCGTGGGCTGGGCCAGGAGCTGGGTTCGCGCCCTCTGTGCCCAGCTTCCTCCTGTGGGCAGTGGTGAGGGGCTGAGCTCTGCAGAGGGTCCTGGTGTCACCATGCTGGGAGGGACTGGGAAGCTCTGAGGTGGCAGCAACCAATGGTCAAAGTGACAGCTTTTGTCTTCCTCTGAAATAACAAAAAATACCTCAAAGGAAAATATAAAAACATTCATTGAGCATCTACATGTCAGACCTTCCAACTCCCTCCTCTTGTGGCCACTCACAGCAGCCCCGGGTTCCAACAATCGTTGCCACCACTGTGCAGACACAACACTGAGGCTCGAGGTGGGGTGTGCACGCTCCAGGGCTGACCCCTAGAGAGGCCCCCCTCTCTCCCACACTGGCCCCAGTCACAGACTCCAGCAAGGCTCTGAATGCCCAGCATTTAATGAAATGCTTTTATTATAGTGGAACCTGCTGGACAGCGTAAGTTCTCCATGCTCCTAGATGGGGAAGATGGTTGCCATTCTTTCTACTTCCCAGCTCCTGCCACGCCCCCCTTACGTAGGAGACACTTTCCCCGCCGCACATGTCCCCAGAGCCAGCACTAGCCATATGATACCTTTGTGAGAATCACAAAAAGGCGCCCCTTCTCAGAGCAGACTCGGTCCCTCATCCACACCGGGGCACCCTCATGCATGGCCCATCTCTCACTGCAGCAGTCAGAGTGGGTGACTTTCCAGCCCCCGATGCAGCCAGGGGGCCCACCAGTCATGCACCCACACCAGACAAGGAAGTGGGTGCCATGGCCAGTGCAGCGGCCACCATGCCCAGCTCCCAGGGGTGACAGAGCTAAACACTCCCAGGGTGGGACCCGGAAACGCAGCTTCGTGTGGTCTCCAGGCCCTGCTCTTGGAGTCTTCAGGAGCTCCCCGATCTCATCCCGAAAGTTCCTTTCCCACCCAACTCTCCTATTTGCAGCTGAGAATACAAGGGGCGGGGGTGGAGGAGGGGTTGGGGCCCCTGAGGAGACTGAGCCCCCGTGATAGTTGTCCGTGTCCTGGGTGAAAGAGACCCTACTTTCCCAGAGGCCGGACACTAGGCTGCAGTTCTACCCAGTAATAAAGGATTAAGAAACAATTCAGCCAAGTGAGAGGAACAGCGAGCAACAGAGCCCACGACAGCAACGCCAGGGCTCCTGTTCCTCCCCCCTCCCCTGAAATTGTGCTCAATGACACGAGCCAGTCACAAAGGATCACATGTTATGTGATTCTATTTCTATGAAATGCCCAGAAAGCAGGCGAGGAGTTACCAGGGACGGGACTAAGGGAGGTTGGAGAGGAATGGGGAGTGACTGTTTAATGGGTTCAGGGTTCCTTTTGGGGTGATTAAAATGTTCTAAAATTGATAGTGGTACAACTCTGTGAATACTAAAAATCACCGAATTGTACACTTTAAGTAGGCATATTGTATAGTATTTGAATGATATCTCGATGAAGCTGACATTTTTAAAAGAATGTAAAGTGCCTTTGATAAAACATTCAGTCAACAGTTACTTATTAAGCACCTGCTGGGCACTGTGCTGGCTCTGGGAGCACCCTGGTGAGCAAACCAGATCTGGTCAGTCCCTTCCCTCCTGAAGTTCACAGTTTACTGGGGAAGATGGAAAAGCTCACCGTTTTACATGTCTGATTGCAAATGGAAAATGTGCTGCGAAGAAAAGGAACACAGTGTAGGAGAGCTGAGGGATCAGGAAGGGCTTCCCTGAGGAAGGGAATGGGCCAGAGGGAAGGGAGTGAAGTGGAGGAGTGTTCGACATCGAGAGAAAAGCACGTGCAAAGGCCCTGTGGCCTGTGTGGCTGGAATGTAGGGGATAAGGGATGGATCATGGGACCCCACGACTGAACTGTTGAATCCAGATTCTATGCTTACAGTAGGAAGTCTCTGAGAGCTGTGAGCAATGGTGTGACACCTTCAGGTTTATAATCTGGTCCCTCAGGATGCTGGGAGGATGGGGGTGGGGAGCAGCAACACTGATGTGGGGAGACCAGCAAAGGGCAGCTACTGACATCCCAGCGAGAGACAAGCTGCCGCGTTTCCACCTGCTGTCATTCTGATTCCTTTGATTTCAGGTCTGATGAGTCACCTGTGAGTCATCACACCCACAATGATTGCTGTGTTTTCCTTTTTAACAATGAACTTGTTTTTAACCACTGAGCCATTATGTTACGGGCCAATGGAGTCCCCAGATACAGCCCTGGGGAGAATTTTAAATGCCACTTAACAAAAGAGTCTCCAAAACTCCATTTAATAAACAATTCTGCACAACACGGCTGTCGTGGTGCACTCTGCATGCTGCTCGGGGCCGTCATGAGCTGGCCCAGGAAGGGCTGGGTTCGGCTGATGACCCTCTCGAGCATGACTCTGGGCAGAGGGCCCTGGCGCAGCCGCCCAGGGCTCAGCGTGACAGTGACAGTGTGGCCATGTGCGGCCCGCCGCCCCTCGCTGTGTGGATTCTGTGACACCCTGGCATGCTTGCCAGCACAACCCTGGGGCAGAACCCCCACAGTTATGTGGGCTCACAGGGTGGCCTCCTGCTGACCAGGGTAGGCTTCCATCTTTGTAAAATATTAACCATTTGTTGACGTGCTGTGGACTCACCCACCTGCTAAGACGAGGTCCCAGGACTCCCTTTGCTGGGGATCTGCTGAGGCAAGTTAGGGTGATACCACCACATACAGACTTCCATTTTGTATTCACACCCATCCCCATGTCAGAAACCCAGGCATAGCCTTCTCCTTCTGCCTCATCTCCCACACCTACTAGTAAGTCCCCAGTTCCTCCACCACCTCCTGAATATTTCTGAACTCACCTCTTCCTCTCCAACCCCCTTTGTCTGCCCTGGTTCAGGGCCCCCGGACCTGCTGCCCGCCCCCCCCCTCCCCCGCGCCCCAGCACTATCTATACCACCGAAGGGCAACATGGTCTCCTTTCTCCTTTCCTGTCTACTTGACTAACTTCCACTTACCTCTCAAGACTCAACTCAAGGGCACATGCCCGGGTTGCGGGCTCGATCCCCAGTGGGGAGCGTGCAGGAGGCAGCTGATCAGTGATTCTCTTTCATCATTGATGTTTCTGTCTCTCTCTAACCCTCTCCCTTCCCTCTCTGAAATCAATAAAAAATAAAATAAAAAATAAAAAAAAGAAAGAGTCAGCTCAGAAATCACCACTAGGAGCCCCGTGACCCTCGGGTGGGGTCAGCTGCCTCCCCTGGGCTGTCCAGCCTCGTCACAGTCTTCTCCCGTGTGTTGCAATGTCTGTTTGGAGCCTGTCTCTCTGCTCAAGCCCCCGGCAGCCAGATGGGGTGAGAGCGGCTCCTCAGAGGGCGGGGTGGGGGCTGTTCAGGAAGGAGGGGCGTCCTAGGCGTGCTCAGCCTGTCACGGGCTGTGCCTGGGACCAGCGCAGACGCTGGCACTGGGAACAAGCCGCAAGAGACCCCGCGACTTGGAAGAGCCCGGAGCACGTCCTGCTCCTGGCCAATCCCCCTGCCCGGAGGTTTGCTCATGGTTTCACTCAGCAAACACCAGCAGACCCTCTCCCGCCCCACCGCGCCCTCCTGGCAGGCCCCAAGCTGGGCATCTGGGCCTCGGCGCCTCCTCATCTGGAGTTGGAACCAGGCCTGGACAGGACAGTGTGAGACAGACTCTGCCAGGGGCAGCTGGTGAGGGGGAGGTGGGGGCATTTTGAACCCTCCTCCAATTCCAGGTCAAGAGGGACCTGGGCTCCAAAGTAGTTGAATTTCAAAGGAGGCTGCTCAAAGGGGCTGGCTCCCAGGAGCAGATGCTACACAGGACACTGAGCTCCTGGCTGCATCTGACTGCTCTGTCTGCACCTGGAGGGGGTAGTGTGCCTGGTGGGGTGCAGGCAGGATAGGGGTGCAGGCAGGAGATGGGAAAGACCACCCAGAGCCAGGAGTGCATGGGTTTTGAAAGCAAAGCCTCCCCTGAGGTGTCTGCCACAGAAATGGCTTAGTAGCTGGTTCCTGGCCCTGCAACACATGGGTGGGTTTTCCTGGTCCTGTCAGGAGATGGGGGCACCCCAAAGCACAGTTAGGTCTAGCGATCAAGGGGACAGGCTCAGGGCAGCCCTGGGCTGGTGGCGGTGGGGCTGGACAGAGCACGGCCAGGCTGGACCCCAGGCGTACATGCTCCCCTTCTGAAATCAGCACAGGCACCACCACGCAGCTGGGAAAGCCAGACAGCATTTATTCACCTCGAAAGAGAGGGCACCTGTGCCCGCAGGCCCACGCAGGGCACCGCAGTCAGTCTAGAGTGGCCAGGGTATAGGGGTCAGGTGGCAGTGGACAGAGCACAACGGGCAAGTCACTGAGCCTCAGTTTCTCCATCTAGGGCTGTGTGGATTGGAAAGCACGCAGTGGGCCCTCAAGCGGGAGCGTGGCTGCTCATCCCTCTGGCTCCGTCGAGATGGGGCCTGGAGCCCTGACCTCCAGAGACCCTGCTGAGGCTCCAGGCCGGAGCCCTTCGCCCAACAGAGCCCTGCCGGTCTGTGAATGGGAGTGAGCCTGCGGGGCTGTGCGGCAACAGCTGCGGTGCACTGGCGCCCTCGTGTGGCCATGGCAGGTACCACCAGGTTTGTGGGCTAATGGACGCGGGG